CACAAAGTATTTAAATAATTTCAAGTTCATGTACTTTGAATGATGAACAACACAGTAACCACAATACAAACACTTTCGCTCGCTCTCTCTCTCTCTCTCCTGATATGCAAACACACTCGTACATGTTTCCATGGCCAAGGTCAGTGTTGTCGTTCAAAGATTTAAAGAGATTTACCTTGATGGCCGACCAAAAACAAAACAAGAAGGAATAATAACGCATTCAATGAGACTAGGAGATAACATTAAAACATAACATAACATTAAAATTAGGTTACATTGATAAACAAAAAAAAAAAAAACGACCAAAGTACCCAGAAAAAATATACGACCAAAAATAATAAAGTCCTAATTGACTATAGAAAAACTCCAATAAACAATTCCTATAAATTAAAAAAATCGATCAAATTTCTAAAATAATTTCTACTAAAAAAGGACCGAAAATCCCACAATTAAAATCTTCAAAAAATATGCCCAACAAGTTAACATAAAACGACCAAAAAAATTTTTAATACCTACCAACTTACAAAAAAAAAAAATGAACAACAAAATATGCTGGTACTAATTTACTAAAAATAAAATCTTCTGCCTCTCAAGTTAACATAAACCGACCAAAAAAATCTGAAAAAAAATTTAATACCGACCAAATAAAAAAAAACATAACAAACAAAAATGTTGGTAGTAATTTATTTTAATACACACATAATTAAAAAAAATATAGAAATTATTTTACCAAATTTCTCAAATTGAATTTTACCGAAAATGTACCAAATTTCCCAAAATTAAAGCGATGAAAAATTAATTATTTTATTTATTTATGCCAAATTTCGTGCCATTCGAATGATATAAAATGACTTCGGTGCACCATTTACATAAAATCAGACGAAAAAACATAAAATCGGACGAAAATATATATGGGAGCTATATCGAAATCTGAACCGATTTTCTCGAAACTTAGCACACGTCGTTCTAGACCCAATTCAGTACGCTATATCAAATTTCGTGCAAATCGAATGATATATAGGGACATTAGTGCACCATTTACATAAAATCGAACCAAAATATGGTGCACCATTTACCTTAAATCTGAACCGATTTTTCCCAATTTCATTAGGGTTCGTCCTTGGGCCAAATAAATTAGCTGTGCCAAATTTTATCCAATTCGGATTATAAATGCGAACTGTACTTTGTTTACAATTTAACATCGACAGACAGATTCTATGCATATTCTATCTCGTTGCTATCTCGTTTCCTTTTGCCTGTTACAAAGATATGCACAAAGACATAATACCCTGTACCACAGAGTGGTGAAAGGTATAATGAATTATTTTAGTTATGTCTTAAAAAAAATTCTAAAAATGAGATCGATCGAAAATCTATTAAAATATATCAAATTATCCCCCCAAATTGACCAAAAATGAGCCCAAAACTTAAATCTGAAAAAAAAAATAAAAATACTACAAAAAGCGACCAAAATAATCAAAAAAGTCCAAATTGTCAAAAAATCATGAAAATGCCCGAAATAAATAATAATAAAAAATATTTTATATTTGATCAACGCTATATTTTCGCCCTCTAGTGTGGTAATGGATTACTAAATAATATCGGAATACGTAACCACCTGTAAATATGTAAGTGTAACTCCCTCATCCAAGTACAAACGACAATATAATTGGTATCAATTTAACGGTCAACCACTCCTCTTGAGTCTACGTCCTTCAGGGGTAAATCTATACGCTTTAGAATACAAATTTTGCCATTTTTCACACAAAAGTCTGGGTCCAGGCATGCGTCTTCTCTGACCCGATTCCCGTCTCCTATGTTTGGGCCATAATTGCGGCCTCTGGAGCGACCAACTTAACTTTAGCCTAAATATTAAACGATCTTTACCAAAAACAATAGGGGTCTTCATTGGCCAGAACCCAGCAAAATGTCGTGAAGATTGGTCCATAACTGTGGCCTGTATCGTGTTTACTGAGTCTAGATCGATTCAGATAATCGAGATATGGCGATCGGTATACTTAAAGGTGGGTCTAGGGCCAATATTACGCGGCGTTATAAACTCTTGGGGCTGCACAATGCTATAATACCCTTGACAACATAGTTGTGTGGGTATACAAATCGTCCAAAAATAAAAAACCGACCAAACTATTGCAATTGATAAGAAGAGAATTACCCATTTTTTTTATGTATAAAAAACCAACAAAATTTCTAAAAATCGACCAATAACACCAACATACCAAAAAAAAAATGCATACAATTTCATACTGTCCCACTTAGAAAAAAAATCTTCAAAAAAGTTTTAACCGAAAAATAATGACTAATTACTAAAAAAATTGTCTGAAGTTTATATTATTATATTTTCCCAAATTCAATAGAAATAAAGATAACCAAGAAGAAGAAGAAACCAAAATTCCAAAATTAAAAATTATATTCGAAAAAAATTCAAAAATTTTATTCTGACGTTTCATACCCAAATTCAAAAGTAATAAAGATAACCAAGAAGAAGAAACCCAAATTCCGAAATTAAAAATTATACTCGAAAAAAATTCAAAAATTTTATTCTGACGTTTCATAATTTCGAAAAAAATTCAAAAATTTTACTCTGACGTTTCATACCCAAATTCAAACGAAATAAAGATAACCTAGAAGAAGAAACCCAAATTCCGAATTTAAAAATTATAATCGATAAAAATTATTCTTACGTTTCATACATCGGTAACTCTACAAAATCCTAAACCGCAATTCCTTCGTTCGCTCTCTCTTTAAAAACGCACGCACACACACTCTCTCGTAGCATATATGCACCTATTTTATTCATGGCCAAGGTATCACCAACAAAACAAAAATATTCAAAGCCATTGCCGAACAATTCACCCAGTCATCCAGCCAGCCAAAAATACAGTAACAAAAACTGTAACACTTTTACAAGGCTGTTTGTTATTGTCTCAACACACAAGTCCAATGTCAATGATTAACGAACACACATACACACACAACATCCGAACAGCATCACAACATTTATGCACCGATTCCTGTGAGTGCACACACGCTGTTGGTGTATTTGAGTATGAGAGTATGTTTGGTTTCTCTACTCAATTAGGTATTGTTTTTGTTGCACCGTTGTGTGTCGTTTAATGTGAGTGTGGTGTGAAGTATATTGAAGATTGCAAAAATTTCGTAGAGGGTGTTTATGTGTCGTATGAGTAATATTATGGAATTATTGCGTATACGCCATGAGGACGTTTTCAGAATGTTTTTATAAGAAACTATTTTTAAACCAGTGAACGGAGCAGTATAGTCGGACGGGGCCGACCATACGATACCCTACACAACTATCACAAAGCTATAACTTTCTGTGGTCCAAATTCCCTTTATAAAGGTGGGTCTAAGACCAATATTTCGCGGCGTTACAAACTCTTGGGGCTGCACAAAGCTATAATACCCTGACAACATAGTTGTGTAGGGGATAAAAATTCACGACTATGTTGGTAGTGAAAAATAATATGTGTGTTAAATTTCGTGAAAATCCGTTCAGATTTCGATGTAGCTCCCATATATATTTTCGTCCGATTTTGGGTAAATAGTGCAGCAAAGTGTCTATATATACTTCGATTTGCACGAAACTTTGCATAGCGTACTGAATTAAGTCTAGAATGATGTGTGCTAAGTTTCCTGAAAATCGGTTCAGATTTAGATATAGCTCCCATATATATTTTCGTCCGATTTTAGGTAAATGATGCACCAAAGCCCCTATATATCTTTCGATTTGCACGAAATTTGGCATAGCGTACTGAATTAAGTCTAGAACAATGTGTGTTGAATTTCGAGAAAATCGGTTCAGATTTAGATATAGCTCCCATACATATGTTCGTCCGATTTTAGGTAAATAGTGCACCAAAGTCCCTATATATCCTTCGATTTGCACGAGATTTGGCACAGCGTACTGAATTAAGTCTAGAATGATGTGTGCTAAATTTCGTGAAAATCGGTTCAAATTTAGATATAGCTCCGATACAAATGTTCGTCCGATTTTAGGTAAGTATTGCACCGAAGTCCCTATATATCCTTCGATTTGAACGAAATTTGGCACAGCCTACTGACTTAAGTCTAGAACGATGTGTGTAAAATTTCGTAAAAATCGGTTCAGATTTAGATATAGATCTCACATAAATTTTCATCCGATTTTAGGTAAATAGTGCACCAAATTCCCTATATATCCTTCGATCTGCACGAAATTTGGCATAGCGTACTGTATTAAGACTATAACTATTTGTGTGAAATTTCGTGGAGAAGGGTTCATGTTTAGATATAGCTCCCATATATATTTTCGTCCGATTTTATGTAAATGGTGCACCAAAGTTTCTATAGGTCCCTCGATTTGCACGAAATTTGGCATAGCGTATTGACATAAGTATAGAACGATGTGTGTTAAATTTCGTAGAAATCGGTTAAGATTTATATATAGCTCCCATACATATGTTCGTCCGATTTTTGGCAAATAGTGTACCAAAGTCCCTATATATCCTTCTATTTGCACGAAACATGGCATATCGTACTGAATTGAGTCTAGAACGATGTGTGTTAAATTTCATAGAAATCGGTTCAGAAATAGATATATCTCCCATATATATTTTCGTCCGATTTTATGTAAATAGTGCACCAAAGTCCCTATATATCTTTCGATTTGCACGAAATTTGGCACAGCGTACTGACATAAGTCTAAAACGATGTGTGTTAAATTTCGTAGTAATCGGTTCAGATTTAGATATAGCTACCATACATATATTAGTCCGATTTTAGGTAAATTACTTACCTTTCTTACTTACCTTATACTCTTCTACCACCTCTTCATTTAATACTTAGCTGAAATTTATACGCATTTAAGAGACAAGTTCCAGATTTTTTATTTTCTTTTTTTTTAATTTTTTCTTGAATTATTTTCTTAATTTCGTTGAATAATATTTTTTATAAAAAAAAACATTTTTTTCTTATTATTCCAGGAAAAAGATCAATACGGCAATGAGGTACAACGTTTGGCACGTCCACTACCCGTTGAATATTTACTTGTCGATGTGCCAGCATCGACGCCGTTGCAACCGCAATTCACTTTCTCCAAATATGACAAACGACAACCATTCCCCGTGGAAAATCGTTATTTGGATGGCCACTTGCAGGACTTTAACGCCTTGAGCGCCTATCTATCCCAGTGGGATGATGAAGATTTCCTTGAAGCCATATCCGATTTTCATTTGCTGGTCTATTTGTTTAAAATGGATATGTTGCCAATGCGTCAGCATATGATGCCACTGCTGGAGGCGGTACGCAATAAGAATCCCAATATGGCCTATGCCTTTAAGAAGGAGGAGGTGTGGAAATTATTGGAATCGCTGATACAGGCCAGTTCAAGTGGTAGTGGGTAAGTGAATAAAAATGGATATATTCTATTAAGAAAATTAAAAAATTTATTTACCTTTTCTTTATTTCTCTTCTAGGGGCACCACAAGTTATCCCTCGTCATCCTCCACAAATCGTGCTGGTGCCGGTGGCTCCTCATCCAATGCCATGGATAGTTCTGGCATCGATGGCAACACCTGGACCTGTAATCATTGCACCTTTATCAATAGCAGTGAATTGTCATCCTGTGAAATTTGCTCTCTGCCCAGATAGATTTCCTTCCACCCCAACCACCACCATCACCACCAGATGAAGAAGAAGCGAAGCGAAATTTCAAAATTCCCAAAGTCTGCTAACTACTGTCATGAATAAATTTTCTGCAAGAAAATATCATCATCTACAACAACAACAAAAAAAGAGAACAGAATATTTGTGTATTTTATTTTGTTTATAAGAAAAACAATTCTAAATTAATTTTTCTTTTGTTTTTGTTTCACATTTTTTTTTTTTAATTTCTAAATTTACCAGCATAACTTTCATGGAAATGGCTTTCTTAAGAAAAAGAATAAAAAAAAAAATAAATTATAAATAAAAAACTTATACCACACACACAACTACAGTTGCGCGTTTGATGTTGTAAACATATTCAGTATAGTTTTTTTTCTAGATTTATTTTTTGTAATTTATTTTAGCGAGAAAAAAGGCAAATAAATTAAAAACATAAAATTTGTATAATTTTCTTTTTTAAAATATAAGAAAATTATTTTGCAAAATCATTTACATATTTTTAATTTTTATATAAAAAAGGAAAACAAGCTTAAAAACTAAACGTTTTAGTATTTCAGTTAGGCTTACTTAAAATTACTTTTCCAAGGTCCCAACACATTTAAGTAAGATTTTCCAGCCTGACTGAATTAGAAATTCCATAGGAAATCTTCAATTCAGCCCGGCTGAATTAGATTTTCCGCAGGAAATCTTAAATTCAGCCCGGCTGAATTAGATTTTCCGCAGGAAATCCTCAATTCAGCCCGGCTGAATTAGATTTTCCACAGGATATCCTCAATTCAGTCTGCCTGAATAAGAGTTTCTATAGGAAACCTTCTAAAAAAGATTTCCCATGGGTAAATCTTCAATGCAGCCTGGCTGAATACGATTTTCTATAGGAAATCTTCAATTGAGCTTGGCTGAATAAGAGTTTCTATAGGAAATCTTCAATTGAGCTTGGCTGAATAGAAGTTTTCCTATGGAAAATCTGGCTGCATAAGAGTTTCCGTAAAAAATCTTCAATTCAGCCTAGCTGAATAAGAGTTTCAATAGGAAATCTTCATTTCAGCCTGGCTGAATAAGAGTTTCTATAGGAAATCTTCATTTCAGCCTGGCTGAATAAGAGTTTCTATAGGAAATCTTCATTTCAGCCTGGCTGAATAAGAGTTTCTATAGGAAATCTTCATTTCAGCCTGGCTGAATAAGAGTTTCCATAGGAAATCTTCAATTCAGCCTTGCTGAATAAGATTTTCCATAGGAAATCTTCATTTCAGCCTGGCTGAATAAGATTTTCTATAGGAAATCTTTAATTCAGCCTGGCTGAATAAGATTTTCTATAGGAAATCTTTAATTCAGCCTGGCTGAATAAGATTTTCTATAGGAAATCTTTAATTCAGCCTGGCTGAATAAGATTTTCTATAGGAAATCTTTAATTCAGCCTGGCTGAATAAGATTTTCTATAGGAAATCTTTAATTCAGCCTGGCTGAATAAGATTTTCTATAGGAAATCTTTAATTCAGCCTGGCTGAATAAGATTTTCTATAGGAAATCTTTAATTCAGCCTGGCTGAATAAGATTTTCTATAGGAAATCTTTAATTCAGCCTGGCTGAATAAGATTTTCTATAGGAAATCTTTAATTCAGCCTGGCTGAATAAGATTTTCTATAGGAAATCTTTAATTCAGCCTGGCTGAATAAGATTTTCTATAGGAAATCTTTAATTCAGCCTGGCTGAATATGATTCTCAATAGGAAATCTTCAATTCACCCTGTCTGAATTAAGGTTTCTATTGAAAATCTTCAATTCAGCCTGGCTTAATAAGAGTTTCTATGGGAAATCTTCAGTTTAGCCTTGTTGAATAAGATTTTTTATAGGAAATCTTCAATTCAGCCTGGCTGAATATGAGTTTCTATAGGAAATCTTCAATTCAACCTGGCTGAATAAGTGTTTCTATAGGAAATCTTCAATTCGGCATGGCTGAATAAGTGTTTCTATAGGAAATCTTCAATTCAGTCTGGCTGAACATTCATATAATGATTATATAAGATAATTTAATACATGTATTGTCAATATGAAAAACAACTTTAGAATTCCCTCGAACCATTTGTGCAAAAATTATTAAAATCGGTTAAGTAGTTGCTGAGTTATTTGCATTTGAATTCAGCGATGTTCTGAAAGATACCTGCTGTTGGATGCTGGGCACCTATTACCTGAAAATCAAAAAACCACACAAAAATTTGTTTTTTTAACGGCAATTTTCTTTCTCTCCCCTCTGGTTTGTTTATAAAGAAAATTATAGCATACTTTTAGGCAAAACACAATTTGTGAAGGCGATTGTTTAAAAAAATCAATTTTTGTGTGAGTTTTCATTTTTTCTAAGGATTCAGAATTAATTTTCAATTATCAGACCTTTTATAAATTTGTTTTTAATTTATAAAAGACCACTTAATTAGAAGCTGAATATTTTTTTCAATTTACATTTCAATTCAGCCAAGCAGTAGATATATTTTTTAATTTGTTTTATATTAAAAAGCAACATGAATAAACACAAAAAGACGAAGCTTAAATCGATAGAATGAAAATAAAGATGAAATCTATAGGTTATGTTGTAGCATTGTAATACTTTACTACTACTTTTATTATACTACTTACTATAAACAAAAATATATGCCTAATAAAAATTTCGAAAAAATAAATAAATCTTTTGTGGTAAATAAAATGAAATGGATTAAAAAAAAAAAAACAAATATTGTTGTTTGAATTTTGATAAGGAACCTCGGATATATGAATTGAATTCAGCACGTCTGAATATTTTTATATAGAGAAACTTTTATTCATACAAATCGGCAAAAATATATTTCTATATAAAAAATTAATTTCAATCAGCCGAATTTTAATTTTCGATTTCAGAAAATTGCAACTAAATCGTTATACCAGATATGCTTTCTCCAGTACAACCCTATTTCCAGTCAGTCAGCCAGTCAGTACTTTTCCCAAATTTACCTACTTGTGCATAATGTTGTTGGAGTGGAAGTTTCTATCAAGTCTACTTGGAAAATTAATTCGGAAACAAATTTAAAATATTTTTAAATTTTTCATTTATCGAAGTACAAACGAAATTGTCTGTGCCAATTATATTTTGAAAAAGAAAACTGCAAAATTTTACGGTAATTGCTCTTCCTTGTAATTTTTTTCTCACAAATAAATCAATTTCTTTGATTTCTAGTGGAAATTATATTGAAATCAATAAAAAGTGTAAACAGCAACAAAAATGGCTTTACGTCTGTCTCTCAACAAAATTACCCACGAGATTGTAAAACCAATGATGTTAACCAAGACAATATATCGCAATAGATCGAATTTAAGTAAGTGAAAAAAAGAATAAAATTTTGTACTGTTTCTACAGGAAATCTTCAATTCAGCCTGACTGAATTAAGGTTTCTATAGGAAATCTTCAATTCAGCCAGGCTGAGTAAGATTTTTCATAGGAAATCTCCAATTTAGCCTGGCTGAATAAGATTTTCCATAGGAAATCTTCAATTCTGCCTGGCTGAATAAGATTTTCCATAGAATTTCTTCAATTCAGTCTTGCTTAATAAGATTTTCCATAAGAAATCTTCAATTCAACCTGGCTGAATTAAGGTTTCTATAGGAAATTTTCAATTCAGCCTAGCTGAATTAAGGTTACTTTAGGAAATCTTCAATTCAGCCTGGCTGAATAAGAGTTTCTATAAGAAATCTTCAATTCAGCCGGGCTGAATTAAGGTTTCTATAGGAAATCTTCAATTCAGCCTGGCTGAATTAAGGTTTCTATAGGAAATCTTCAATTCCGCCTTGCTGAATTCAGGTTTCTATAGGAAATCTTCAATTCAGCCTGGCTAAATTAAGGTTTCTATAGGAAATCTTCAATTCAGCGAGGCTTTAGTATTCAGTATGACAGAATAAGAGTATCTAAATGAAAAAAAAAACGTTTTTATTGCAGCCCCAATGGCTGGCTGGTTAGAAAAGCCCCGAAGTTTGTTATTCCACCCCAAAAATATTTTGAAACATGCCGAGGTAAGTTATCCATAAAAATTATTTATAATATATTCCATTACAAATATACTTACCATATAATGATCAAAAAGCTACAATAAGGCAAGTATTTAAAAATTAAAATCAAAATTTTCAAATTTCCATATTACTGGTACTACCAAAAATCGACTTTTCATCTACAATCATATACGATTTTGATTACAAAATAAAAAAATAAGCTGAGACAAAATGTGCGTTACTTAAAAAAAAGAATAAAAATAAATAAAAAATTGTAAAAAGCGAGTTATTAATATTAAAATTAGAAATGAAATATATTTTTTTTTTCAAAATACTAAAGATACTCTCTGAGACTAGCAGCTAAAACACAAACTACATGAAATTAATTAAATACTTTATTGTTGTTGTTTTTTGTTTATTTCAATAATAATAATGTTTATAATAATTGATATTATTGTTATTTGCTCATTTAATACTTTTGTTTTACGTTGTAATACAATTACGTTATTTATGTACGGTTTGTATTTAAATATTTGGTGATTTCTAAACTATATGAAAAAATTAAAAAAAGGATGAGATAGATACGCAAGGTGCTACATGGTTGGAGAAAGTTGAAATGCGAATAAAAGTCTTTAAATCAGCCTGGAAATCTTCGATTCCAAGAAATCTTCGAATAAGATTTTCCATAGCAAATCTGCAATTCAGCCTTGCTGAATTAAGGTATCTATAGGAAATCTTCAATTCAGCCTGGCTGAATTAAGGTTTCTATAGGAAATCTTCAATTCAGCCTGGCTGAATTATGGTTTCTATAGGAAATCTTCAATTCAGCCTGGCTGAATTATGGTTTCTATAGGAAATCTTCAATTCAGCCTGGCTGAATTAAGGTTTCTATAGGAAATCTTCAATTCAGCCTGGCTGAATTAAGGTTTCTATAGGAAATCTTGAATTCAGCCTGGCTGAATTAAGGTTTCTATAGGAAATCTT